CTCCCAGGCACAGGGCCTCTCACCCGGCCCCACTGCAGCCTGGCACTGGCCCCAGTGCTGGCTACTCCCACTCTGGTAGGGACACAGACACAGCTTTTCATCTTCTTATTATTCTGCTTCATGCATTTGAAAAATGAAAGTTCTCCCTCTCCCCCTCACCAGGCATACATATTTCATACGATCATTAGACAATGGCACTAAAGGACTCACAAATCTTCCCTGGTCAGTATCAGCGGCCTGGGGGGGCGGGCAGCGAGGGGCCCCCAGGGAATGAGGTCAGCGTGGAAGACATGGCTTTGCCCAGCCTCCCTGGGGAGGGAGTGGAGACTGGTGTGGGGGACTGGCGGCCACGTCTGCCTGGGGGAGGGAGTGGAGACTGGCGTGGGGGACTGGCGGCCACGTCTGCCTGGAGAGAGAAGACAGCTCCATCTTGTCCCCAGGGGCTCATCACCTAATTTCAGTGGGCCTCAGCTGCTCCAGGCCCAAGGTGAAGGGAACTGGACAGGGGACCTCAGGTCCTTCCCACTCTGACAGTCCAAATGCAATTCTGCAGGGTACCCAGATGTGAAAGGTTTATCCCCAGGGTTCAGATGGGACCTTCAGGGATAGGGAGCCTCGTTACAGTGTGCTCCGGGCCCCTCGCTTCCTGTGTGGACCCAACCTTCTCTACCGCTCCCCTGATCCCCTCCACACTTCCTAGCCACTCTCTCCTCTCCTTTTCCTGGTCCCCTTCCCTTCACCGCTTCTGCTTCATTCCCTCTCTTCCCCTTTGAATCCTCTGCCCTCCTTGTCTTTGCCCCTCTCTCTCCACCAGCTCCCTTTTTTCTCTCCACCACTCCTTTCTTCCTAGAATTTGTTCATTCATTTTCCAAGCATTTGTGAAGCACTGCTATGTGCCAGGTGTTGTCCATGGTGGGAGGTGAGCCTGGCAGATGCAGCATGACCTCATAGCTTCCCCAAACCCTTTCCTTTGACAAAAGAGGATACTGAGGCCTCAGGGGGTTGCAGTGACCTGAGCTGTTGACACTGGCCTGGAACCGGGCTCTCTACAGCACAGTGACCCCTCGCCATTGGCTCAGTGGCACCCGGTCAGCTCTTCCCCAGACCAAGCTGTAGTTATTATAGTCTGATAATACCATATATGGTGAAGATTATTTATCAGTAGATAGAAAAGGAACTTCAGGGTCCTCCCCTCCCTTCTCCTTTAGTCCCTGGAAGGAGAGGACAGAGGTGGACTTATTATAAGGAGCTCTAACCAGGTGCCTTTTCTTCTGAGAACAAGTCTCTCTTTGGTTTACAAGCAATACACGGGGGTTCTAAGGGCATGGCGAGATGGCACTGCGTTCAGATCCTGATTCTGCCCCCTTTTTTAGCTGTGAAGCCTCGGCTGAGCCATTTGCCCTCTCTATGCTTCACTTTCCCTATGCGTAACAATAGCACCTACCTCGTAGGATTGTTATGAAGATAAAATACATAAGTGTAAGGTGTTCCGTAAATGGCAATGTCGTGAGGGATGGCCAAGGGCACCAGGGTAGGGCTTATCAAAGCATCAGTCCTTAGTTGGAAGTTGGGTACATAGCTCAGCATCTTCCTTTTCACTTATTCGACATGCATCCCTGAGAAACTGTGATGTCCTCAGAGCCCGGCCGGGCCAGTGGAAGGAACAGAGATTTGCAGTCTACTGGAACACGAACAGTGGGGACACCGAGTGGAAACTGGGCATAAGAGACAGGCCTATAAAAGCAATTCTTTCACAAGTTTGTGTATATCAAATTATCGTGTTATACACCTTAAATATTTTGGAATTTTATTTATATTATACCTAAATAAAGCTAAAACAAAAAGAGAATAAGGTATTGAAACATTTATAGCAGCAAATCTTAATCCAATTATGATCTTACAGAGAAGCCCTGAGTGTAAAACAGATGTAACTGGACTCCAAGGTCAATCTAAGGCCTTTTCCTCCTGGTGTCTGGTGGCAGGCAGCAGTTTGCCTGGCTCCAGGGCAGTGGCCTGGGAAAGGAACAGAAGTCACAGTGTCTGGCACAGAGTGTATGATTAATAAGTAACTATTGAATGAATGGATGGATGAACAGTGTCGTTTAGCCTGCACTGTGGACTGTCCCATGCCAGGGACAATGCAAAAGCCCAAGGGCCCCAGCCGCAAAAGCCAAACCACCGCTAGAACTGCCGTCATCCTGGAGAAGGGAGGACATGGAAAAGGTCCTCACTCGGGTGGCCCGAAGGAAAGAAGTGGGGATCTAAGCTTCCGCCTCGGTCTGCTTATAACCTGCTCATGACCTATATGGTGACAAGGTTCACTGGGTCTCCCTGGGGTCTAGGCCTCAGTTTTGTGATCTCTGTCTTCCTCGTCATGTTGTGACAGTGAAGATAAAATGAGGTCGTGATAAACATGGATGGTCTCTGAAAATGTAAAAGGTCCGGTAGTGCAAGCTGCCAGTGATCAGATCACCACCATTGCCGTCGTCATCAGCACCAGGCCCGCCTCTCTCCCTCCAGTCTCTCTTGACTACGAGCGGCAGAGAGCCAACTTGGATCAGCCTGGATAAAAGAGGCCTTGTTGGACTCACAGACTAAGCTGAGATGGGAAGGGATGGCAGCTTCAGGGCTCTAGAACTACCAGGACTCAGCCCCTCTCTTCTCCTCACTCTCCCCTGGGGGGCACCTTCACCTCCCCACACATCCAGCAGCTCTCAGTTCATGCTGTCCTAGCTTCACTGCTTCGGAGGAAACCTTTTACCTCCCAGAGACAGTAAGAAGAATCCCAGAGGCTTCTGATAGCCCCAGCTGCGGTCAAGGGGTACTCCCAGCCCAGTCCCTGTGGTCATGGGCAGAGCAGGCAGCTCTGACTCAGACCTCTTGTTTGAGCAGAGAGAGAGAGCAGAGAGAGGTGCGGGAGAAGATGGGTGGAGGGGGTGGCAGGCTGTTTGCAACAAAAGAAGTTGCCAACCAGGTGACAGGCTGCCCTAAGCATGCAACGGATTAGTCCCAGGGTTAAAGAAGAGGGACCACCGGAAGTCCTCCCAGATAGCCTCCCCCACTGGGAGCACATCTGACTTAGAGGCTTTGGGGATGAGTAGAATCACTGGAAGAATCCACCAGTTAACTGAACCCACCCTCACCTTCATTTGTGATAACTTTACAAACAGGTTGTGATAACTTTACAAATACTTGCCGTGTCACCCACCATGGTTGTGACTCTGAGCCACAGGTCCAGGGTCTCTTCCCTACGCCCCTAAGGATCTGCAGAAAATAAGCCTGCCCAGCCTGACATGGGTCCAGGAGGGATGGTTTCAAGTTGAGGTTTAGGCAAAAGACTGAGTTTCTAGAAGCACACTCTCTAGCATAAATTTAAATAGCCATTTTTGACTGGTGGCAACCATATTGAACAGCATGGCTCTAGAAAATTCAGCGTGGGCCAGAGGAGTTGTGTGAAAGAACTACGGGTTTGCTCTGGACATTTCCTGGTGAGATCAGGAGCCTCAGGTGGACCTGGCAGTAATGACTTCTTGTTTGACTTCTTACCTTTGTAGGCAACGGACAATGATGTGGGCACCTTCGGGGAAGTCAACTACTTCTTCAGCGATGACCCTGACCGGTGAGACCCTGCCCCAGCCCCTCCACTGGGCCTTCTGCCACTCATATGGTCCAGGAAACTCCTCAGTGCCCCGGGAGAGCACTGTGGCCCTGTGGCCAGAGCACTGAGCTGGGATTCGGAACCCGAGGGCACCGCCGCTGGTGCAGCCCTGGTCGTGGTACAGTCTTGCTCAAGTCCCCTAAACTCTCTGGGGCACAGTTTTTCAGGCCCTCAAAAAATAGTCCTAAGCTTTGGGAATGAAGAAGCTTTGAAATGCTAATGATAGCACACCAGCAGCAGCAGCAGCCAGCATTTATGAAGCCCTTACCATGTGTTAGGCTCTTTGCCAGGAGCTTTATACACATTATCTAATGTAGTCCTCACAACTAAATGCTGGAGGAACTCAGTGCTAGGCATTATTATCATCCCCACTTTACAGATGAGGAAACTACAGCCCAGAGAGGCTAAGTCACTTGCCCAGAGTCACACAGCTCTTAAGTACACAGCATGCAGGACCAGGCCTCTGCATGTAGTCTTCACTGGGATATACAGCCTCCAGCAGGAGGGGGCTTTCAATGTGCTGCAGCTATTAGGTAGGTGACCTGCCTCACCACCTGGCCTGTGCCAGCCTTGCCTTGTCACCCACCATGGTTCTGAGGCATCTCTTTCCTTTGTCTTTATTTAAGCTGAGTCCAAGGGAAGACCTCTCATTTTTAACACGATCAAGAGCCAAGCTGAATTAGAGAGCAGGTCTGCTTCTAAAAATGAAGTATCTGATGCATCTGGAAGCCCAAGAAGATGAGCACAATTGGCTTGGATCAAAGGCACTTGACTATCTGTGTAAATAACCAAGAAGGGGCAGAGATTATTAGGTGCACCTAGCCATTTTTCTGCCACTCGTTGATGGGGCCTCAAAATAGGAGGCAGGAACCAGCAGTGCACAGGGCACCTCAGTCCCTCAGGTTACCCATGTTCACCTGGCCTTGTCCTGGTCATCTTGTGTTTTCTCATCCCTTCCAATCTTCTGGGCTGGGGGCTTTCCCATTCTCGGAGCTGGGACCTTCCAAGCCTGATGGCTAGAAGCTATGGACCAGGTCAGGACACACAAATGTCAACTGACAACTCAGAGGCGGCTCGTGAAGGGATGTTGAGAGGAAGCAGATAGAGAGATGGTCTGGCTGGACCTAGCTCCTCTTCAGGAGATATTTATCAGGCTCAGTCCCTCGAGCAGAAGATGAGGAGTAGCCTCTAAGAGAGGACCAGCCACTGCTCCCGTGGTGAATGTTTTGCTGACTGTTTAAAACATTTTGGTGCAAAACCATCTGGGATGACAGAATTTATTTTTTATTTACCAAATATGTGTGCGTGTGTTATTGAGATATAATTGACATGGACGTTATATTAGTTTCAGGGGTACACATAATGATTTGATACAGGATTACAGTAAGTCTAGTTAGCATTCATGACCACATATATAATTACAAGTTTTTTTTCTCGTTATGAGAACTTTTAAAATCTACTCTCAGCAACTTTCAAACATGCAGTACAGTATTAACTATACTCACCATGCTGTACATTATATCCTCAGGACTCGCTTATTTTATAACTGGAAGTCTATACCTTTCGACCACCTTCACCCATTTTGCCCACCCTCCACGTCCTGCCTCTGGCAACCACTAATCTGTTCTCTATCTATGAGCTCAATTTTTTAATTTTGTTTCCTTATTTAGTTTCCACGTGTAAGTGAGATCATACAGTATTTTGTCTTTCTCTGTGTGACTTATTTCACTTAGCAAATCCTCTCAGGGTTCATCCATGCTGTCAGAAATAGCAAGATTTCCTTAGTTTTTTTTTTGTGTGGCTGAATAATATTTCACACACACACCACATCTTTATCAATTCATCCATCAATGAGCACTTAGATTTTTTTTTCCCATATCTGGGCTACTTTGAATAATTCTGCAATATACATGGTGGGGGGGGTATATATATCTTTTCGAGTTTGTATTTTCATTTTCTTTAGATAAATACCCAGAGGTGGAATTGCTGGGTCATGTGATAGTTCTATTTTAAATTTTTTGAAGAACCTCCATGCTGTTTTCCATGGAGGCTGTCCCAATTTACATTCCCGCCAACAGTGCGCAAGAGTTCCCTTTCCTACACATCCTTACCAATGCTTATTTTTTTGTCTTTTTTATAATAAACATTCTAATAGGTATGAGATGATATTGTGGTTTTCATTTGCATTTCCCTGATGATTAGGGACGTTGAACATCTTTTCATGTACCTATTGGCCATCTGTGTGTATCTTTAGAAAAATGTCTATTCATATCCTCTGCCTATTTTTTTAATTGGATTATTTGGAGTTTTTTTGTTATTGAGTTACATGAGTTCTTTATTTATTTTGGATATCAGCCCCTTATCAGATATATGATTTGCAAATGTTTTCTCTCATTTAGTATGTTGCCTTTTAATTTTGTTGATGGTTTCCTTTGCTGTACAGAAGGTTTTTAGTTTGATGTAGTTCCTCTTGTTTATTTTTGCCTTTGCTCTTGATGTCAAATCTAAAAAATCATCACTGAGACCAGTATCAAAGAGATGACTGCCTTTGTTTTCTTCTAAGAGTCTTTTGGTTTCAAGTCTTATATTCAAGTCTGTAATCTGATCCAGTTTCATTTTTTTGCTTGTGGTTGTCCAGTTTTCCCAGTTATTAAAGAGACTGTCCTTTCACCATTGTATATTCTTGGCTCTTTAGACATAAATTAATTGTGGGTTTCTTTCTGGGCGCTCTATTCTGTTCCATTGATCTATGTGTCTGTTTTTATGCCAATACAATACTATTTTGATTACTATAACTTTGTAATATTGTGTGAAATCGGGGAGCATGATGCTCCTAGCTTTGTTGTTGTTTCTCAAGATTTCTTTGGTCATTCGGTGTCTTTTGTGATTCCATACACATTTAGGATTGTTCTATTTCTGTGAAAGATGCCATTGGTATTTTGATAGGGATGGCATTGACTCTATAGATTGCTTTGGGTAAGATGGACATTTTAACAATGTTCTTCCAATCTATAAGCATAATTTCTTTCATTAGTGTCTTATACTTTTCAGAATAGATCTTTCACCTCTTTGGTTAAATTTATTTCTAAGTATTTTTCATTGATGCAATTGTAAATGGGATTATTTTCTTAATTTCTCTTTCTGACAATTCATTATTAGTGTACAGAAATGCAAAAGATTTTTGTATATTGATTTTGTATCCCACAATTTTACTGAATTCATGTATTAGTTCTAATAGTTTTTTGGTGGAATCTTCAGGGTTTTCTATACAGTATCATGTCATCTGCAAATAGTGGCAGTTTTACTTCTTCCTTTATGATTAGGATGCCTTTTATTTCTTTCTCTTGCCTAATTTCTCTGGGTAGGATTTCCGATACTATGTCGAATAAAAGTGATGAGAGAAGGCATCTTTGTCTTGTTCTTGATCCTAGAGGAAACACATTCAGCTTTTCACCATTTAGGATGTTAGCTGTGGGCTTCATATATGGCCTTTATTATACTGAGGTATAGTCCCTTTATAACCCATTTTTTGAGAGTTTTTATCATAAATGGATGTTGAATTTTATCCAAAGCTGTTTCCGCATTTTTTGAGATGATCATATGATTTTTTTTATCCTTTAATGTTTTATCCTGTTAACGTGTATCACATTGATTTGAAGTTGCTGAACCATCCTTGCATCCCTGAAATAAATCCCACTTGATCATTATGTATGATCCTTTTAATGTATTGTCGAATTCGATTTGCTAATATTTTGTTGATAATTTCTTAATCTATGTTCATCAGGGACATTGCCTGAATTTTTTTTTTCTTGTGGTGTCCTTGTCTGGTTTTGGTATCAGGGTAATGCCAACCTCATAAAATGAGTTTGTAAGTATTCCGTCCTCTTCTGTTTTTGGAAGAGTTTGAGGAGGATTGGTATTCTTCTTTGAATGTTTGGTAGGATTACAAATGAAAGCTGTCTGGTCCTGGACTTTTATTTGCTGGGACGGTTTTGATTACTGATTCAATCTCCTTATGTTATCGGTCTGCTCGCATTTTTTATTTCTTCATGAATCAGTCTTAGTAGGTTGTATGTTTCTAGGAATTGATCCATTTTTTTCTAGGTCATCTAATTTGTTGGCATGTAAGTATTCATACCTGTCTTTCATGATCTTTTGTATTTTTGTGGTGTCAGTTATAAGAATTTCTGATGATTACAGTTCTCTAATATCTAAATATCCCCAGTAGGCAGAAACTTCTGTTCACAACAAGAAGAGGGTCATTCTTCCTGAATTTCCTCTCTGAGTAAATCAACCTGCTCCTGCTCT